AACACACACACACACACACACACACACACACACAAATATGCGTAAATATATATATCATCAGGTTGAATGACAATAACAATTGATTTTTGTGGTTGCCATACAAAAGGATGCATTCATAAGTCATTCAAAATATTTTGTAATTGTTTTAGATAGCATCAAGTTGGGATTTCGATAGCATAATGAATATAATACTTGTAATAATAATAATAATATACAGTGGTATTCAGTGTTTTTTCACACAAATACATTTCTATATTTTATCGCATACTTTTAGGGGTCGAAACTAATTTAAACTAAAATAAGTAAAACCAGTAAAGAAAGTCCTAAAGACGGGCGGGGCCGACTTTATAATACCCTACACCACTTTGCTAATATAGTAGAGCTCCACATAACAATTAAAAGTTTTTATGGGAGAATTCAATCATACACGCTATGATTATAATTATAATTTAAAGTTCAAAGGACAAAATATGCCGAAGCATTTGTATATTTTAAATTTGGACTTGTATTGCCCATTTGGTGCACAATTAATTTGAAAACGGTTAAAAATATATATGGGAGCTATATCCAAATCGGAACCGATCTCGATAAAATTTGGCAAAGATATTTCTGAGCTGTATTTGATATTTTTCCCTGAATATTGTTGTTACGGAGTGCATATTACAGCTGTGGGTAACAAATATAACAAATCGGATGAACAGTATATATAGGAGCTATAGCTATAACTGAACCGATCTTCACCAAATTTGACATACTAGCTTCGGTCGCAAGTGCCAAATTTCATCCCATTTGGACAAATATTAGACGTTTGGTGCACAATCAAAGGTAAATCGGATGAAGTTATATATAGGAGCTATATCCAAATCTGAACCGTTCTCGATAAAATTTTGCAACGGTATTTCTGAGCTGCATTTGATATATTTCCCCAAATATTGTTGTTACAGAGTGCATATTACGGCTGCGGAGGACAAAAATAACAAATCGGATGAACAATATGTATGGGAGTTATAGCTGTATCTGAACCGATTGCAAAATTCCATACTTTTCGGGCTGATATTACACGTATGGTGCTCAATAAAAGGCAAATCGGACGAAGATATATATGGGAGCTATATCTAAATTTTAACCGATTATCTCCAATTTCAATAGGGTTCGTTCTTGGGCGAAACAAATTATTTGTGCAAAACTTCATCTGGATCGCGCAATAAATGCGAACTTTACTTTGTTCACAAAAGTTCATGGACAGACGGTCGGACAGACAGACAGACAGACAAAAAGACGGACGGACAGACAGACAGACGGGCGGACATGCACAAATCGACTCAAAATGTGATTCTTTGCAGATCATCAAAAGGAACTAAGGGTCTATCTCGTTTCCTTTTGCCTGTTACAAACAAATGCACAAAGACATAATACCCTGAACACCTTGTGGTGTAGGGTATAACAAGTAAAATAGAATCAGTTGGTTTTGCCGAGAGATTTATAACCCCAGCCTTGAGTTATGATTATTCACACTGTTAACCTTTTATGGGACAAAGGTCTAGTCCAGATTTGGACATAACGGCTATTTCCTATACTTTGTATGAGATTTGTAAAATTTTGCACAAAATATGCGTGAGGTAACAGATATAACTGACCGAAGTATTCCATTTTCATTCTTCATCTAATATAGATAAAAATATTGGTATACGCAAAATTTGAAGGAAATCGAATATTTACATCCAATTTTATGCGAAATTAGAAATTTCGTTCAAATACATATTTATATCAGAATTAGGGTTAAGAGAAATATATATGTATAGAAATCTGTAAACAATCGCCGACATGTTTTGGAAGTTATGACAGATGTAAGCATTGGAAATTGTGTCCCTTTGTGGTTGAGGTAACAGAAGGGGTTAGAAAATGATCATCATCTTTACAACAGATCTGGTTTTAGAAAAATGCTCGTATGTGTTAAATTTGAAAAGAGTTGGATGAGAGTTGAAGCGTTTTGTTTTTAAAAAATCGTGAACCCTATAATGGGGGAGGTATCAGAAGAAATGATCCAATCTGTACCATCTTTATAATAGAACTTGTGTTGATGAAAAAATTGAGATGTACCAAGTCTGAATGGAATCGGATGTTAATTTCGTTATAATTTTCCCCTTGTGGGGGAGGTACCAGATGGAGAGGACCCAAGGTCTTGTGTGAAATAGGGATATATATTTCACACTAGACCCTGGGTTAATAAAAATATTGTGATGTGTATAATTTAAGGAGAACCAGATGCTTATTTCTGCATTTGTGATAGTTTTGGTTATTCAAAACTTTGACCCTTTGTGGGGGAGGTACCAAAAGGATCGATATTGCCCAACTCCGAACTTGGATTTTCTTAAAAAAATTTTATTTTCGACTAATTTAGCATATTTTCGCATTTGCTACAAATTTTCTTATAATGTCATTGGTTGGAAAATGGATTTGAAAGAACTAAGTTTGTGGGTCGAAACCAGTTTCGTCTTTTAAGCGTCTATACAAAGGTTCTCCAATAATTTAGATATAGTTCGCATGCTTTTAAAATATAGAGCTTGGAATATTTGTAGAGAGCTTTAGGTTAGTTTCATAATCACTTGCTTAAAAACGGGTCCTGTCGGTCCCCTTCCTGACATAGCCCCTATATAAGGGTTTCTAGTATTTTTTACGTTCAAGTCAGATTTTCTATTAAATTCGCTAGATTTTGGTATTTTGAGTTCTAGTTATGTAGAAACGTCATTAGTAAAAAATTATAAACATAAGTTCACGTTTTTGTATAGTTCCTAATCGATTTAGCTGAAAAAATTTGAAAGAGCTCTAGCTTAAGAAACATAAGTGATAAAATTTTACTCAGATGCGTTGTTATGTGCTTTTCACAAGAGCTATTTCAAATTTGAAATTTCGTAGAGGGTACTGCTTCCTATGACAGAAATTTTCCCATACAAATTCAAGTCTACGAGTTGTCCTAATTCAGGTGATTGATTTTAGCTACATTTTTTATCTTAAGCTTGGTGTTTGGAGTTCGTAAACGGTACACCCTTCTCTGGCAGATAATTGGCTGTAAATTAACTTTGTAATAATTGAAATGTTCCACTCAGAATGGTGAGCGATTAAAAACGGGAAAATCCTAAAAGTGCCGACTACTGGTACACTTACCCTATCCTAATCTTTATTAATATAAATATACTAAAAGTGTAAAATAAATAATAAACAAATGAATTTATACTATATATATTTTATAGTAATGTAAAGTGTATAGTTTAAAAATTGATAGGAGCTCCCTAAAGTATGCTATGAAAAGTTAAGTATGAATTATAAGATGTCACTTTACATATGACTTTAATATAAATGTTATAACACATTTTCTTTTAAAAAAATACAATATTGAAACGCCCAAAAGTATGCTGCTCCCAAATAATAACAATATAATTTTAAGCCACAAAGAATACGGCAGCGTTTTCGCAATCTTTTCCCATGAATTTCCAAATACATACCTTACATCTAGGCCATCATAGATCAACATGTTTATCGTTGATAGCTTATATTTTGTATATAAATACATTTAGCGTTTTATTTATATATATATATATATATATATATATATATATATATATATATATATATATATATATATATATATATATATATATATATGTATATGTATATGTATATGTGTGTGTGTGTGTGTAAATAAAATGCTAAATGTATTTATATACAAAATATAAACTATAAACGATAAACATGTTGATCTATGATATATATATATATATATATATATATATATATATATATATATATATATATATATATATATATATATATATATATATATATATATATATATATATATATATATATATATATAATATATATATATATATATATATATATATATATATATATATATATAATATATATATATATATATATATATATATATATATATATATATATTATATATATATATATATATATATATATATATATATATATACCACAATGGTAGTTTATATAAACCTCAAATTCAACATGAAGAGAAAAATTGTTTTTTTCTAATTTATAGACTCGGCCTGGTCGACCTTTGAATACCCTCCACCATTTGGAACGAATTTGGAAATTTTAAAAAATCTCAAAAATACCGAATATACCTGTTATATTAGTGTATATACGACGACGTGGACCTGCATAGGCAACTTTTACCATAAGCCATTACAATATTCAAATGCGAAACTTGAAAAAATCGGTGAATAATGTAGCTAAAATCATCAAAATACCAAACATAGGGAGGTACTATTATATGGCGGATATATCAAGACGTGGACCTGCACAGAAAATTTTCTGTCATATCCTGTAGTATCCATTACGAACTTCAAATAAATATAAACAATTCGCTTTAATCACTAAGATACCGAAAATAGGGAGGTACCATTGTATGGGACCAAAAGGGCAATTTTTATTCATGTTCGCATCTTCATTCCGATGCAGGTACTTATTCTTTCGCATTCACTTTCTAGAGCTAAAAATAACATTCTTTTGAGCGAGTTCATTAGAAATTCACTATTTCTTTCAGTTTTAAATGCCATGTCAATTTCACGATGATCAGGAACTTTTATCGCTTTCCATTTGCAAAACTATCACTCTCTTCGAATGGTATTCAATAGTTCTTTTCCTTGAAATGCTCACTTTAATGTCAACTCAATACTGTCAATACAACGACTTGCCTTCCTCTCACGGCTGTCCCATAAAAGATCCATCAAAATGAATTCCTAAGTGGAATTGATTTTTATGGTTTACGTGTGACCCTAAGAAGTCGCACGAAAACAAATAATAAAAAATTCTATTTTCCGATGGGAAATTTATGACACACAAAATATGTATGCACAAACATGCATATCTTTATATAGAACATAAAAAACGAACATGAACAATTTAAATGTTTGATATTTTTACTAATATTCTTTGAAATGTTTCTTTTCCGTATTTCCTTGCAGAATTTCAACGTTTAAGGGCAGCCAAATTGCCATATTGCACAAAATATGCCATTAACCGTATCGTTGTCGAAAGCGATAAAGTAAAGCATCGATTCTCGAGGGAAAAGCGAAAAACAAACAGCTGACATATGAGCTTGAAGCGCTGGAACCTGATGATGTAATGGTAAGTATTAGTAACTCTTGAATATATCATTAAATTACAAATACACGTAAACTGGCACAGCTGCTACTGCTGCCTGTCTGCCTGCCTGTCTGCCTGCCTGCCTGCCTGCCCCCAGTCCCCCTCTATGAAAGGATGAATGATGGCAATAACATATCAAAATAGCTAAATAAAACATACAAAAACAACAGCCAAAAACTTATGGGAACATTATGTTTTATTAACGACTTCCCATATCCTTTCGAAGGCCATTGAGTGCGATTTTTTTGTCGGCCCCACACGCACGCACGCACACACACACAGACAGATGCGAAAAACACTAACTCATCACATCACAACGTACATGTGTAAGCACGTGAACGTGAATTGGAGTATTTGCCCACGTTTTTCCATACATTTGCCTTTAGGAATGTATCCATTTTGATTAAGCATCAGTACTTCCTGCCGGACGGTGTTTTTTCGTTTCAAAATTCTTTGTAACAGCCGCTTTTGATATGAACGCTGCTGCTGCTGTTGCTGAATAGTTATTCATTTCGTGTACGCATCATTAAGTATTACCTAAAGCTCTTCTCAATGAAATGAATGAATGAAACAATGAAAACATCAACTAAACAAATAGCTGAGATTTTTTTTTTCTCCTGGTACGAGGTTTGGGTGATAAATTGGTTACACTCTTAGTATGTCCACTTAGGAATCAAGAAATCATAGTACAGTTTTAATTTTTGGGAGAGAATAAGAAAATTACAAGGTATCTAATGTTTCACTTTAAATCTTTCAGTGACTTAGTACTGTAATGGATGTATGGATATGGTTCAACAAGAAACCCGGTAAATTCTAATTTATTTACTACCAAGGACCTTGTGAATCAACCATCATACTACAAGAGACACGAGCAAATATATGGGAAGGGCTTACATGTAGGATACTGAAACGATTCTTTTGTTCAAAAACCAGTAAAGAAAGCTCAAAAGTCGGGCATATTAAGTTTGTCATTCCGTTTCTAACACCTCGAAATATACATTTTAGAGCCCACAAAGTATATATATTCTTGATCAGCTTAAAATGCTATGTCCATTTATCAATGTCCGTCCGTCTATCCGTCTGTGGAAATCACTCTAGCTTCCGAACGAAATGAAGTAGGTTGATAAAATTTCACACAAATAAGTACTATGTCCGCAGGACTCTTCGTATTGGAAATGGGCCATGTAGGTCCACGCCTTCGTATAGTCCCCATATACCAGTACCTCCCGATATGCCGTATTTTGATAATTCTAGCAACATTTTTTACCGGAATTGTTTCAAAATTAATATTTAAAGTTCGTAATAGATACTACAGCATAAAACCAAAAATGGGCCATGTAGGTCCACGTCTTCGTATAGGCCCCATGTAACGGTACCCCCCGATATTCGGTATTTTGATGCTTTTAGCGACATTATTTAGCAGAACTATTTTAAATTTGGTATTTGAAGTTCGTAATGGATACTATAGCCTATGACAGAAAATTGTCTGTGCAGGTGCACGTCTTCGTATAGCCCCCACATAACGGTACCTCCCGATATTCGGTATTTTGCTGATTTTAGCGACATTATTTACCGGAATTGTTTCAAATTTCGCATTTGAAGTTCGTAATGGATATTACAGCCTATGAAAGAAAATTTTCTGCTCAGATCATCGTTTTATAACCGGCGTCGTATAGACTCTAATATACGGCTACATTAGGTATTTTCAAGATTTCAACAGAATTTTTAACGAATTTTATTTTTTCGAAAATGTTAAATTTGTATTAAATGTTAGAGGGTATTCGCAGCCTTTTTACTTATTTGAATGCGAGTGTGGAGACACTTGTGTCTCTTGTAACATACATATCGGAACTGTTACCATATCTGAAACCGAAATCCATCCTAATTGAAGTAATATTTGTATAATATTTGTGGACAATAAATGTAAAATCGAATAAATATATACATGGGAGCTTTATCCGAACCGATCTACTTAAAATTTGGCAGAAGTAATACTAATATTTATCTGACAGTCTTTTCATATGATCGTTCTTTTTGAGTGGATTTTGCTGGTATTAAGGATTTAAATACAAAATCGGATTAAACATAAATACCGGACCTACAGCAATATCTCAATCGATTTTCACCAAATTTGGCACACATTCTCCCATTTCTGCTGAATTCGGCTATATGTACCTAGGTCAATTCTATACGGACCTATATTAATCATTTGGTACACAATAAAAATAAGTTTGGATAAAGCTATACATGGGAGCTACAGGGTGAGATGAAAAACCTGCAACCAACTTCAGACTACTGTCATTTCTAAGCCTGTCGTCCGACAGCTGTCAAAATTATTCCAGTGACAGCTAATTACATTGTTTACTAGCGTACAAAAGCATTTTGGTGAGAATTTTACAGAAAAAAGTTATTCGTGATGGAATTCAAGCGTGATAGTGTGATTTCCTTATATTTGGCTTGAAAACCACAAGTGGCTATCGTTAGAGCACTCCAGCATTTAAATGTGAATAAATCTATGGTGTCTCATACCATTGCTCGTTACCGTGATACTGGTAGCGTAGCCCGACTTCAAGCATGTGGACGGAAGAAAACAGCAACATCAGAACCAGCAGAAATGGTTCGAAAAGTAAAGAAGCGGCTTGGTCGAAACCCGCGCCGCAGTTGCCAAAACATGGCTCGTAAGCTGAACATATCGCAATATTCCATTTGGCAAATAGTGAAAAATAAACTCGAGGTAAAGCCATTGAAATTCCAAAAAGTGCAAGAACTTACACCGCTACTGAAAGAAAATAGTCTCAAAAGAGCTAAAGAGTTGGTTCGCTTGGCCGAAAGTGGTGAACTTCCGAATTTGGTTTTCTCCGATGAGTCCAGCAGTTTGTATACAAACAAAATGATTGTGTTTACTTGCCAAAGATGTCAGCTGAAAATGTACACCTTCGGTTGGCCCCCAGAACTCAAGCGCCGGCCATGGTGATGGTGTGGGCCGTCATAACTGCCGATGGTCGCTCTCCGCTCGTATTATTCGACCGTGGCATCGGAATAAATGCCGAATATTATCGCGAAAATATTCTGGAGTGTGTATTAAAGCCTTGGGCACGCAAACATTTTGGCCGCAGACCTTGGACATTCCAACAGGACTCAGCACCATATCACTCAGCACGCGCCACCCAAGAATGGTTACGAAATAAGGTTCCTCGCTTCATTTCTAGCGCACAATGGGCATCAAAATCTCCGGATACCAATCCGTTGGACTATTGTGTCTGGAGTATTTTGGAAAGCAAGGTTGGCACTAAAAAAATACCAAAGTACCGATCACCTCAAGCAAGTGCTTCGCCGGGAATGGGCCAAAATACCGCAGAGCAACATTCGCGCAGCGTGTGACGGTTTCATTGGCCTTTTGAAGGCCATAATTCGTGCCAAAGGTGACTAATTCGAACAAATCTAAACTTATTCTAAAATTTTATGCTATTTCCGACATTTTTTGCTTTCATTCAATAAAATTCTGAAAAACTAAACTAAAGTAAAAACATGTATAATGAAAACTAAAAATAAACCAAAATTGTTTTTTTTAAGAGATGAGAGCCTTATACACAAAAATATACCCAATCACGTTGCCAAATATAGTCAAGACCTTCAAAATTTATAAATCATGCCTTTCCTTTGAATGTGGGCCATAATAAAACAAAAACTGATTTTAAAATTATTTTGTAGAGGGTAAACGTACTAATAACACTCAGTACAAAATTTAGTCAATTCCGTAAGAAAACATGATGAAAATCATCAAAATATCTGAAACCGGATCGCACTTTTTTAGGGAAGGTATGCTGGAGGGTGCAACAATATTTCTGATATTCAGTCCCATGAAAAATTTATTAATCGGCTAGATTTTAGTCATCTGGAACAGGCAGGCGGGAAAGTACACAATGGATAAGAATTATCGACTGATCAACAATATATGTCTTGTATAGGGTCTTAAATCATTATTCGGTGGCTAATAAATAGAATGAATGAATGAATCTTAATATATCCTCCATGAAAAAACGTCCACAAAAACGGATACATTTCTATTACATTTTATAGAAATATTAAATGGGCTCGGATTATTTTTCAGGTCTGTCGCTGCCTTCATTACATGGTTACGAGTGTTTTAATATTACTTAAATTCTATTTTAAGACTTAACTCCACATTTTCTTCAACATAAATCCAGCATCTCTCCATTAAATAAAAACTTTTGGCATTTTCCTTTAATAATTTAAACTTTTGTTATTATTTATATTGCAGACAACAGAATAATATATGTATACCCCCTGGTAAGTGCAAATTTGTATGCTTCACAGCAGCATTATCACAAACATATTTATTTAAAAACATAATTTTCTTTGACAAACAAACGCCAATTGTTTATTTACGTCTACGTTGAATATGAAAATATTTATGCATATATGTATGCGTGTTTGTCCATATGTCCTCTCATACATACTTATTTACGCAATGAATTCATTTAGATTATAATTTTATGATAATAAATATAAAACATATGATTATATAAATACAAAATGTATACATGTGCGTCAACATATGAATAATGTTGACATTAGTGTGTAACGTAGAAAAAATGGAATGAAAAAAATGTATGCATAAAGACTTGTGATTACATTGCACTCCATGTCAAGTAACATTGAAAACTTGGGATTAGTTTTTGATGACTCCATGGCAAAATCCTTAGAGAACTACTCCTTAGTGGTATACTATCAAAACCCCATTCAGAAGACTGTAAAAACGTAGTATTAGGAGAACAACTTCGGACTATAAGACGAGTGTCTTTAATGACGCCCCCATCAAGATAGGCATTTTAAATTTCATAAGTTCCAGCGAAGTTAAAATTTTTTGGATAGCTAGATTTTACAGTGACTTTTAAATTCGGAATGGAAACTCTTAAAATATAAATTAAAAATATTGAAGAGAATTTTTCGATTTTAAAATTTTAGTTTAAGATAGTTCTTTTAGCAAAAATTTCGTTCTCAAGAACATCTCCCAAAAAAAAAACTTGAGCCCCAAACAAAGTTTTTAATCATATGCTAGCTCTCCGCTAAACTGTGGGAATAAGTGAAACTTAACTTATTGCTATGTCTAATTTCACTAGACGTTTATATTAATATAACAGGCATAAAATACCTTCTTTTCAGGAAAGACTACTCGGTAAACCTGAATATAGGCTCTGATAAGTAATCATCTTTTTATTGAGGATATATTGTGCAGCTGAATCTCTTCTTCAAATATCTATTAAAAATAGAAAGCATTCGAAAGCCCATCACCGTTGAAGACCGCGTAAACGGTATTCTCTTGACAGGAAGTACCTACAGAAGATCTTTTAAAGTGTCATCTATAGAGAAAAAGCTATTAAAAATCCTTATATAAATAAGATACCTTAGAGAACATGCCGAATATGCTGAATATCCCAAAAACAAAATCTGAGAACTAATGCAGATAATTTGTGATAGGCTATTTAAGTGGGCGAATAGGCCTAACACAGCAAAAATCAAGCTGGTAAATTTTTCTACCAACACTGGATGAAGTCCCGTAAGGACTCTCTTCAATCTGCCAGATCCAGTACAATATGTTATTATGTTTATAGTAAATAAAATACTCTCTGTCCAATTCCTCTTTATGGTAATCTGGTGAAGTGGAAAATACTGTTGAAAATGAGTTTGTAATTTTTACAAGAAAAATTAAACTTCGACCATCATTGCTACCAACTCTGGGTGGTGTCACGCTAAGTCAAGTACCTCTGTGCTATTCCAGAACAAAAACGTAAATGAAACAGAAGCATTAATAAATAAGGATAGTCATAATCAGATTATATTAAAGGTTTGTTAAGAAACTGTAGATTGTAATCACATATAATACTCTGCTCTGGTGAAATGATCTACAGTCAAAGTTATGGGGTTATTAGTATTCAGAGGGCTTCATGTACAATTAGGACTACTCCGCAGATAGAACTGTAAACCGACCTGAACTTATATCAACTTATTAACTTTGAGAGGCTTCTTCGATTGTGATATAAAGGCCCTAATAGAAAACCAATTATATTAGGAAATTCTTCTTGGGACGTTTGGACCGTTATCAACTCATCTCTAATAGCTATACTTATATGTACCGAAACTCTAAGTTGGAAAATGGTACGGTTCCAAGTTCCTTCGCGAAATCCGTAATATTTAATATTCCCCCAATATTTTTTAGGTGAAAGCCCAGAGCTCTAAAAGATTTTTTTGAAATTGAGGGTCCAATAACTATATGCATCGATGGACATGTTACCCTGAAAACATTGCCCCTTGAGGTTAGCCCAAATATGATTTAATAAGACTGAAAGGCAACATTTTTCACATATCGAACAATCCATCTACTCTCTATAACAAAACATGTCATCAAATTTGTGGTTGTCATCATTATTGGCTATACAGGGTGAGATAAAAAAATGCAACAAAGTCAAACGCCATAATTTTTATTATTATTATTTTTTTAATTTTTTTGAATCAAAGCAAAAAATGTCGGAAATAGCATAAAATTTTAGATAAGTTTACATATGTTCGAATTGGTCACCTTTGGCACGAAATACGACCAATGAAACCGTCACACGCTGCCCGAAAGTTGCTCTGCGGCATTTTGACCCATTCCCGGCAAAGGGCTTGCTTGAGGTGATCGACACTTTGGTATTTTTTAGTACCAACCTTGCTTTTCAAAATACTTCAGACACAATTGTCCGACGGACTGGTATCCGCAGATTTTGGTGGCCATTGTGCGCTGGAAATGAAACGAGAAACCTCATTTTGTGAAGGTGTACATTTTCAGCTGACCTCTTTGGTCAGCTAACCACGATCATTTTGATTGTTTACAAACTGTTGGACAACGAATGTTTTCTCATCGAAAATAACCAAATTCGGCAGTTCACCACTTTCGGCCAAGCGAAGCCGAAAGTGCTAAGTCAGGTGGGGAAGTAGACAATAGCGGCCCGTTCTATCAAGTACCTCCCTCACAAATGGTAAAAATTTGAAATAATTATATCTCTTATAAAATATGATGTAAGAGTCCGGTTGTCTTCAAATTAAACACATCATAATATTTTTATTTGCCCAAGGGATATATCGATCCACTCCTTCAGGTACCTCTCCCATAAAGGGTCAACATTTTGAATATTCATGAAGCTCATAAAACACGGAATTAACATCCGATTCCATTCAGAATTGGCACATCTCAATATTTCTATCAACCCAAGATCAGTCATAAAGACGGTAGAAATCGGATCATTTCTTCTGGAACCTCGATGTAGGGTTCAAGATTTTGAAAAACGAAACGCTCAAGGAATGCGAATAAGGCATCCAACTTTCTTCAAATTTCACAGATGCAAACATTTTTGCTATCACAAGATCTGTTGTGAAGATGATAAATCTATATATCGGCGAACCCCCTCTGGTACCTCACCCACAAAGGTCACAATTTTCAATAGTTTGTCTGTTATAACTTGCGAAACAAGTCAGAGATTCTGTATAACTTGCTAAATCTAAATATTTCTCTCAACCAGAAACCTGAAATGAATATGGAATTTATGATGTCGCACAAAGTCGGATACAAATGTTCGATTTTCTTGTAATTTTGCCCATACCAATATTTTTATATATATTAGATGAAGTAGGAAAATGGAATACTGGCTCGGTCGGCTATATTTGATATATCACGCACATTTTGTCATAAATATTTTCTAAAAATTATCACATATCTCATGAAATGTGAAGGAAGTACCCACTACAGTCGAAATCCGGCACTTCGCAATATTTATAATATATTTTGTTAGGTCCCTTACGAAATGGACAATATTGACCCATTCCATTCAAACCTACTCCATAGAGGGCCAGCAATTTGAATAATCATAACAGAAGTCGAAGTACATTTAATCGAACATTGGCTGAGGGTATACATCTGTCGGCAAAACCGACTGATAATTTTTACCTTGTTCAACTCCCTTTAAGGAATATAGTAACACTTCCCAAAATATTATACACAGGTTTTTTCAGATATGATTCAAATAAGCTCTCTTTATGTAAGGAGATAATAAGGACTTGAGTCTTTAGTACAAAGCCTATTCATCATATAAAGGCCCAATATATTGGGACTCCTATAAGCAGCCTATAATTATAATGTTTTCATAACAGCTTCCTATATAGTCCATAAATAGAATTTGTCTAATAAAGAGCCCATAGTAGAACTTAAAAATATCCACTTTCAAAATTCTTAGGAATGTACAATGATATCACACAAGAAGTGCTAAGAAATACGAAATCAGATTTTTTTAATCAGAGACCCTTACGTACTCTATTCAATTTTACAAAAACGTTTTTTACAACCTCTCAAAAGATAGTCCATCTTAAATCTCTTCGTGGAGACTTGTGTCCATTCTTTGTGTTAAATATGTTAGTTCAGGAGACCTCAATATAATTTCGTTATGATTATAGAACTTCATACTCTTCCCAATTTCATGCAACTGGGGACTGAGAACAACACACGCCGGCACGAACGCACATACACACACAAACACATCTTATACTCAAAGCGTACAACATAAATTCCATATTTGCCAGTTGGTCAACCGTAAATGGGACCTATGTTTGTAACCACTGCCACTGAACGACGAATATTATATTTATGACAATATAATGTGCGGCCATGATAATGGCGATAATACAACATCCTGTTATTCTTATTATTCCAAACACGCACGTACACACACACACATATGTGATTCTTTATATTACACATATGTGTATGTGCATGTGTGTTGGTATTGTTAATGTTATGTTGTCTGTACCATAATCTTGCGGATATACAATTAAATGCACATGTGACATTTTTCAAAAAATTTTCGACAATACACAAAAATATATTTTTTTAATTATCTTTTGCGTAATTTGTGACATTTTTAGCCAGCGGCCAATACTGAAAACTTATATTTCATATTTTATCAGTATTTTAATAGAGTTTTTGGCATTATTATTGCTGCTGTTGTTGTAGTTATCGTTGTCAGGACATTTCATTGAAATTGACGATGGTCAAAATTAAGCTGCGAACAAATTTAATGAGGAACTGTTTAGTTGCCTATTTTGGTGTTAAAATAATATCAAGTCGGAGTTTAGAGTATTTACGGGATATATAGGGTGATATAAAAAAACTGCAACAAAGTCAAACGCCACAATTTTTAAATTTTTTATACCCTCCACCATAGTATGGAGGGTATATTAAGTTTTTCATTCCGTTTGTA